TAAGATCGATAAACCACTGGCCAGACTTATCCAAAAGAAGAGAGAAAGGACCAAATTTAATAAAATTATGAATGAAAGGGGAGAGATCACGAATAACACCAAGGAAATAGAAACAATTATTAGAAATTATTATCAACAACTCTATGCCAATAAACTGAGCAATCTGGATGAAATGGGGGCCTTCCTGGAAACCTATAAGCTGCCAAGACTGAAACAGGAAGAAATTGACAACCTGAATAGGCCAATAACCAGTAACGAGATTGAAGCAGTGATCAAAAACCTCCCAAAAAAACAAGAGTCCAGGGCCTGATGGATTCCCTGAGGAATTCTCCCAAACATTCAAAGAAGAAATAATACCTATTCGACTGAAGCTGTTTCCAAAAATAGAAACAGAAGGAATGCTTCCAAACTCATTCTATGAGGCCAGCATTACCTTAATCCCCAAACCAGCCAAAGACCCCATCAAAAAGGAGAATTTCAGAATGACATCCCTGATGAATATGGATTCCAAAATCCTCAACAAAATCCTAGCTAATAGGATCCAACAATACATTAAAAGGATCATCCACCACGACGAAGTGGGATTTATCTCCGGGATGCAAGGGCAGTTCAACATTCACAAATCAATCAGTGTGATAGAACACATTAATAAGAGGAAGGAGAAGAACCATATGGTCCTCTCAATTGATGCAGAAAAAGCATTTGACAAAATACAACATCATTTCCTGATTAAAACTCTCCAGAGTATAGGGATAGAGGGAACATTCCTCAAGTTCATAAAATCCATCTATGAAAAACCCACAGCAGGGGCGCCTGGGTGCCTCAGTTGGTTAAGCGACTGCCTTTGGCTCAGGTCATGATCCTGGAGTCCCAGGATCAAGTCCCGCATCGGGCTCCCTGCTCGGCAGGGAGTCTGCTTCTCCCTCTGATGCTCCTCCCTCTCATGCTCTCTGTCTCTCATTCTCTCTCTCTCAAATAAATAAATAAAATCTTAAAAAAAAAAAAAAGAAAAACCCACAGCGAATATCATCCTCAATGGGGAAAAGCTGAGAGCATTTCCCTTAAGATCAGGAACATGTCAAGGTTGCCCACTCTCGCCACTTTTGTTCAACATAGTACTAGAAGTCCTAGCAACAGCAATCAGACAACAAAAAGAAATAAAAGGTGTTCAAATTGGCAAAGAAGAAGTCAAACTCTCTCTTTCCACAGACGACATGATACTTTATGTGGAAAACCCAAAAGACTACACCCCAAATTACTAGAACTCATACAGCAATTCAGTAATGTGGCAGGATACAAAATGCACAGAAATCGGTTGCTTTCTTATACACTAACAATACAACTGTACAAAGAGAAATTAGAAAAACGATTCCATTTACAATAGCACCAAAAACCATAAGATACCTTGGAATAAAGCTAACCAAAGAGGTAAAGGATCTATAGTCCAAGCACTACAGAACACTCATGAAAGAAATTGTAGAAGACACAAAAAGATGGAAAAATATTCCATGCTCATGGATCAGAAGAATAAACATTGTTAAAATGTCCATGCTACCCAGAGCAATCTATACTTTCAATGCCATCCCTATCAAAATTCCAATGACATTTTTCAAAGTGCTGGAACAAACAATCCTAAAATTTGTATGGAATCAGAAAAGACCCCGAATCGCCAAGGAAATGTTGAAAAAGAAAAACAAAGCTGGGGGCATCACATTGCCCGATTTCAAGCTATATTACAAAGCTGTGATCACCAAGACAGCATGATACAGGCACAAAAACAGACATATATACCAATGTAACAGAATAGAGAGCCCAGATATGGACCCTCAACTCTATGGTCAAATAACCTTTGACGAAGCAGGAAAAAACATGCAATGGAAAAAAGACAGTCTGTTCAATAAATGGTGCTGGGAAAATTGGACAACCACATGCAGAAGAATGAAACTCGACCATTCTCTAACACCATACACAAGGATAAACTCCAAATGGATGAAACCTAAATGTGAGCCAGGAATCCATCAAAATCCTAGAGGTGAACATAGGCAGTAACCTCTTTGACATCAGCCACAGCAACTTCTTTCAAGATACATCTCCAAAAGCTAGTGAAACAAAAGCAAAAATGAACTTTTGGGACTTCATCAAGATCAAAAGCTTCTGCACAGCAAAGGAAACAGTCAACAAAACAAAGAGGCAACCCACAGAATGGGAGAAGATATTTGCAAATGACAGTAGAGATAAAGGGCTGGTATCCAAGATATATAAAGAACTTTTCAATCTCAACACCAAAAAAACAAATAATCAAGTCAAAAAGTGGGCAGAAGTTATGAAAAAACACTTCTCTGAGGAAGACATACAAATGGCCTACAGACACAGGAAAAAATGTTCATCATCATTAGCCATCAGGGAAATCCAAATCAAAACCACATTGAGGGCGCCTGGGTGGCTCAATTGGTTAAGTGACTGCCTTCGGCTCAGGTCATGATCCTGGAGTCCCAGGATCGAGGCCCACATCGGGCTCCCTGCTCGGCAGGGAGTCTGCTTCTCCCTCTGACCCTCCTCCCTCTCATGCTCTCTGTCTCTCATTCGCTCTCTCTCAAATAAATAAATAAAATCTTAAAAAAAAAAAAAAAAAAAAACACATTGAGATACCACGTTACACCAGTTAGAATTGCAAAAATGGACCGGGCAAGAAACAACAAATATTCGAGAGGTTATGGAGAAAGGGGAACCCTCTTACACTCTTGGTGGGAATGAAGTTGGTACAGCCACTTTAGAAAACACTGTGAAGTTTCCTCAAAAATTTAAAAATAGAGCTACCCTATGACCCAGCAATTGCACTACTGGGTATTTACCCCAAAGACAGAGATGTAGTGAAAAGAAGGGCCATATGCACCCCAATGTTCCTAGCAGCAATATCTGCAATAGCCAAACTGTGGAAAGAGCCAAGATGCCCTTCAACAGATGAATGGATAAAGAAGATGTGGTCCATATATACAATGGCATATTACTCAGCCATCAGAAAGGATGAATACCCAACTTTTACATCAACATGGATGGGACTGGAGGAGATTATGCTAAGTGAAATAAGTCAAGCAGAGATAGTCAATTTTCATATGGTTTCACTTATCTGTGGAACATAAGGAATAGCATGGAGGACATTAGGAGAAGGAAGGGAAAAATGAAGGGAGGGAAATCGGGGGGAGAGATGAACCATGAGAGACTATGTACTCTGAGAAACAAACAGGGTTTTAGAGGGGAGGTGGGTGGGGGAATGGGTTAGCCCGGTGATGGGTATTAAGGAGGGCACGTATTGCATGGAGCACAGTGTGTTATACGAAAACAATGGATCATGGATCACTACATCAAAAACTAATGATGTATTGTAGTGAGTAACATAACATAATAAAATTAAAAAAAAAAAAAAGTTCTCCTACTCAACACCCAAAAAGCAAAAAAAAAAATGGGCAGAAGACATGAACAGACACTTCTCCAAAGAAGACATACAAATGGAAAAACTGTTCATCATCATTAGCCATCAGGGAAATTCAAATCAAAACCACATTGAGATACCACCTTACCCCAGTTAGAATGGGAAAAATTGACAAGGCAAGAAACAACAAATGTTAGAGAGGTTGTGGAGAAAGGGGAACCCTCTTACACTGTTGGTGGGAATGCAAGTTGGTACAGCCACTTTGGAAAACAGTGTGGAGGTGCCTCAGAAAATTAAAAATAGAGCTACACTATGGCTCAGCAATTGCACTACTGGGTATTGATCCCAAAGACACAGATGTAGTGAAAGGAAGGGCCATATGCACCCCAATGTTCATAGCAGCAATGTCTGCAATAGCCAAACTGTGGAAAGAGCCGAGATGCCCTTCAACAGATGAATGGATAAAGAAGATGTGGTCCATATATACAATAGCATATTACTCAGCCATCAGAAAGGATGAATACCCAACTTTTGCATCAACATGGATGGGACTGGAGGAGATTATGCTAAGTGAAATAAGTCAAGCAGAGAAAGTCAATTATCATATGGTTTCACTTATTTATGGAACATAAGGAATAGCATGGAGGATATTAGGAGAAGGAAGGGAAAAATGAAGGGGCAAAATCAGAGGGGGAGATGAACCATGAGAGACTATGGGCTCTGAGAAACAAACTGTGGGTTTTAGAGGGGAGGGGGATGAGGGGATGGGTTAGCCAGGTGATGGGTATTAAGGAGGGCATGTATTGCATGGAGCACTGGGTGTTATACGCAAACAATGAATCATGGAACACTACATCAAAAACTATTGATGTTCTGTATGGTGACTAACATAACATAAAAAAAAAAGAAAGAACTGAGCTTTTGACAAAGTTTCCAGTGCTGGATATATTTGGTTTGATGCCTTAGGTATGAGAAGATTGGCAGAGTTTGTGGGCATTTTCTTCAGGCAGACATGTGGTTATTGCATTGGGGAGGCCTTTATAAATGAACATGGCTTTCTCAAACTTTCTTTTAAAAACTTCTTAAACTTTACTGATACATGTTCCAGTATGGGATTCTCTGCTTCTCACTGTCCTCACTCTTGGGAGTGGAGGCAGGGTGGTGTGAGGGGAGAGCAATGTTTGGCTGGACCTTCAAGAATGGAAAAAGGAAATTCAGAGAGGCTAAGTTTGGGAGGGAAAGAAAAGAGTCCCTGGCCCAGAGGGAGATGTAGTAGAGGAGGCTGGGCCTTCTCAGGCCCCTTGGTGGATAGGTGAGAACACCCACAGTGCAGGAAGCCTGGCTCTTTTGCTTGTTTCAAAGGTGGGGATGGGTAAGCAGGGACACACTAGAAGCCTGAGGCCTTGCCTCACCAAGCACCTGTCTATCTGTCAGTCAGACCTTTCAGGACTTCCCTACAAATGCCCCTCCCCTCCTTTTGCTGGGATGGCTCCCAGAAAGGCACTAGTAAGATAAGACTGCCCTTGAAAGGGGGTGGAGGATAGCCTAAAATTAGCCCCTGGACCTGATGCCTAGCCTTTAGGCAGTGTTGTTAACAGTGGAAACCAAGGACCCTGCCTGCTTAGGCCTCAGGGCAAATAGGGGCTCCCTGTGGAAGGGAAATCAGGGCTCAGTGCTTTGCAGAGGGGCAGCAGCTGGCAGCAACTCCAGGCAGCCTGGCCTCAGGCCGAAGCCCAGTGAGTATCTGGAGCCTAGAACCCAATGATGCTGCCAGGGAGGAATGAACCCTTAGGGTTGCAGGCCTGTGGACCTGTAATCACCACCCTTCATAGGTTTTTCTTACTGGATCTAGTTTCTGGGGGTGCTTGGGAGATTGGTAGGAAATCTGCCCACACAGGGAAGGAGGGTTATGATAATGGCTTCCTGCTATATCTGTCCCAGGAGGGTGTGTGTGCCAAGGCTCTGGGGTCCAAATGGACCTTCAAGAATGAAGGAAATTGTGGTTATACAATATAGGGAAGGTAAGGATTTGTCTTTGTGTCCCTGTGTGTTATTTGTCTGTATTGTGAGGTGCATCTGGCTGGACTCAAAGGCAGAAGGGCAGAGCTCCTCAGGTTGTGGGGAGGAAGATAAAGCTTAAAAATAATCTACTAATGCCTAGAGGACTGTTTTAGGGCCCACTGAAACCAACCACTTCCCTGTAGTTCTTAACACATATTTATAGGCCCACAAGAGGGCCTTAGATAGAATTTAAAGGGTACAAAAACATGGTTGAAACAATTACTTTTTTTTACCTCTAATCTCTAACTGAAATTTACCATATCCTTTCAAGGATGAGCAGACAGCAAATGGCAGTAGTATTACCAGTTCCTATAACTTGGTCACCAGAAGAAATCATATTTCATATCATATTACACTTGTGGACGAGATCTGAAAATGTCATTTATTCTCATCATCACTTAGAAATTATTAATAGATCTTGGTATTTAATGTGTTAATAAAGAACATTTATTACTATATCATACAGTTTAAAAAATAGCTGTATTTAAACAAAATTGGTTTCCTTTAATCTTATATATTTTGTTTTATGTATTGAAAACCATTCTGAGAGGGGATAAGAGACTTAACCAAATTTCCATAGAGGTCAATGTCACACAAAAAGGCTTAAAACCCCTGCCCTTTGGGGATCAGGAAGGGGATCCTTGCATAGAATGGTCACATAATAACTCTTAGCTTAATAACCACAGCAAGGTGAAGTTAGACAATAGACTAATTAGATTTTCTTATCCTATCTAATAAGGCACAGTTCACTCAAGTTCCCAAGTCAGTGGGTCCATGACTTGATCACCCTATGGAGGCTTATTAGATGGGTCCTACTGTGGACTCCTGGTATGATCTTTGGGAGAGCTTCAGCATTTCCTTCCATACTCCCTGCCCTCTTCATCTCCCTGGAACCAGCCTCCCCTTCCACCAAATAGTAAGGGAATCCCTATTGGCTGTCAGAAGAAATGATCTGTAAAGAAATCTTCCATGACTGAAGTCCCTGGAATTCAGCATGATCCTCAAAACTGAGGATTCTGGGAACTGCTGTGTAACTCTACTTAAGGCAAGGGAAAGAGGTATGTGTTTGTTTTTCAAGTTGCAATAGAAAGAACAGGATGGACAGTAGGGAAACATGTATCTATTTCTGGCTCTGCTATTTCCTTGATGTAAGGTGCCTGGCAAATCCCTTCCCTCTCAGACTTTGGTTTTCTTCATCCACAAAATGGGGATGATATTACCTGTCCCACTATGTGAAATAGCTTTGAAAAGCACAAGATTATAGGTGTGTTCTGGGATCTCGCTTATGAGACAATTGACAATAATAGCCATGTGACCTTAGAAAAAAGTCCCTGCTCACCTCTGAGCCTTGGGTTTTCTATCTCTAAATTAAGGGAATTAAATGATTTGATGCATTCCAGCTCTGAGGTTATAGGACTTTAAGTAAGGGAGCAATAGTAGAAAAGGGAGGCCTAGGTAATAATAATCACTTGGTATTACAATTACTGAGTTACTGACTACTATATTCAGGTGATATTCTAACACTTAACTCATTTAATTATTAATTTAATTATTAACTTACTTAATCCTAACAATAACCCACTGAAGCAGGTACTACTATCATCTTCTCTTTACAGATGAAGAAGTAGGCACAGAGAGATTAAGTGATCTGCTCTAGGTTACACAGCTACTAAGTAGTGTAGCTGGGATTGAAGCAGAATTCCAGACAATGCCTTACCACTACTTTATATGGCCTCTCATTCTGCAGTGGGTGTAAAACAGACCCATATAAAGGAGTTACAATACAGTGTCATGACTGCTATAGTTATATAAGAGTACAGACTCTGGAAGAACTAACCCATCAGAAGGAACTGCATGTGACAGAAAGAAGCATGACGTATATGGAGAGCCATCATTTCTTTTCCCTTATTACTGGATCATGGGGTATAAGTAGAGGAGTAGCAAGAAGTGAGCCTGGAGATGTTGACCAAGATTTGCTCATGAAGGAACTGTGAGCCAGGTTAAAGTATCTGGGCTATACTCTGAAAGAAAGTGGAACCACTAAGGGATTTAAAACGGGATTGACACAGACAAGATTTGTATTTTTAAATGATCACTTTAGTTATAATGTGGAGAAAATATTGAGACGGAAAAACAGCTAAGAGACTACTACAACAGTTGACACAAAGAATGATAGGGGCTTAGGTAAAGCACTGGCAATGGGGATAAGTCTGAAGGGGGTGGTCTATAGAGGTCTCTAGGAAGTAAAATCCATAAGATTTGATGAGTAATTGGATGAAGTTCGGACAAAGAGATAAGAAGACTGAGATGAGTCTTGGGTTTCTGGTTTGGTTGACCAGATGGATAGTGAGAAACAGCTATGGATCAAGTTTGGTGATGATGGTGATGGTAGTGGTGGTGTGATACTACTGACTTTGAAGCACCTGAAGAAACTCAGTGAATACATACTTTTTGCTGAAAAGAGACCTGGGGGGCTTAGAGTGATAAATTTGAAATCATCAGAATTAACATGAGAGCTGCAGCTCTAGGACTGGAAAGAAGAGGATCAAGGAAAGAACAAAGGGGAGCATAATTATTTCAGGGTAGAACATAGGGGAGAAAAATCAGGAGAGTGTGCTGGTCAGGAAGCCAAGGGAGGAGTATGTAGGAGAAAGTGGTCAGTGGGAACAGATGTACCAGGAAGGTCACAGACAGAAAGATCTGAGAAGCAGCCAGAAGATTTAACCACAAGGATGACTTTTAAAGAACACTCTCAGTGTGTGATTGAGGAAGGGTGACTGCAGAGGGTGAAGAAATGAATGGGAGATAGGGAAGTAAATGGTAGACAACTTTTTGGATATGTCCAGTGAAAAGAGAGAGATGAAGAGAAAAGTAGCTAGAGTAAAGATGAAGAGTGAGATGATAAAAGTGTTTGTTTCCTAAGATGGTTGAGGGGAAGGAGCCACTGAGGAGGTTGAAGGGGCAGAGAGAGGAAACTCACCTTTAAAGACCTAATATATGGTAGCTTTTTCCCTCTGAACAGCCCCATGAAGCAGGGACTATCATTTCTGTCTTGTAGATGAGGAAACTGAGCCCCAAAGAAGGGAAGAGATTTGCCCAAGTCTTCTTAGCTAGGAACTAGGGGTGCTCAGTTGCAAACTTAAGTCTGTCTGATTTCTAAAACCCTTTATTTATTTGCATACCTCAAATGCATAAATAATAAGATCATATATGGAGTTGATGCTAGTGGGTGAGAAGGGGCCTAAAATTGAGGGAGACCCCACCCACCCACCTCACAGTTTTTTTCTATGAGGTATGTACCTGAGGTCCCAGGCTAACAAAGAGGGGTGGAGATAGACAGTGAATAAAAGGAGGTATGTGGCCCTGAGACCATGGCTGCAGGGTATGGGAGAGTAGGGAGACTTGAGCTCTGAAAAACCTACCAGCTTACCCTGATGACATTACAAACTGAGGTGGGTGACTGGCTTTGGAGCACTAGGAACAGGACAGGTAAGGTCAAGCGGTTAAGTCAGTTATTGGGCCATGGATAATTTTATAAAGCCTGGGGATAATGGTGAGAGAAGAGTTGAGGGTTGAGGCAAGGGTTCTAAACTGGGTGGGGCAGAGATGACGGGAAAAGGTTTAACCTAAAGGGATAGGGAATCCATGGGTTCCAAGGAGGTGCTGGGAATCAAAGGGACTTCTGTATTGAAGTGGTCCTGGGGAATAAACCAGTTGTCCACCAAAGAGGACTTGCCCTGGAAATGACTATTTCCTGCCATCTCTTTGATTTCATTTTACTTGAAATGTTCTTTGTAATGTCACCTCTTTATTTAATCAGTAGATGTCATTCAACATCCATTTCCTGTGTAACTCTGTTGCCTAAGCATAAGGCGTGAGTCTGAGGGGAGATCACGTATAAAGGACTGTGAGGAGGTTGAACTTCATCTAAAAGGCTGACAGGTAGAATTGAGGGCCTGCCCCATGAGACTAATGTCAGAATGCTTAGGGATGATAACTTGACACCACAAAACAACATTCTGCTGACCTAGCAACTGCCAGACCAGAGCCACCTCATTAGTCCACACATTCTGAACTAAGGAAGTTGCCTCTACCAAATTCCCAGTCGTGATATAGGTGGAGTTTATACATTGAAGCACAGATAAATGCAAATGTGGTGTGAAAGTTCATAACTAAAGTCTAGTTGTGATCCTTTGGAATCCCTGAGCAAGAGGAGGAGATTAGGGAAGGCTTCCCAGAAAGTAGAATTTTGAAGGTCAAGCAGAACAGCATATGCAAAGTCACCAAGCTGTGAAATGGCCTGATGTTTTGGAAACCATCTCTGAGCCCTAAAATGAGATGGAGTAGGAATTGGAAGAATGGGGCCCATCAGTAAAGAGCCTGATGGTAAGGGGTGGGGGGCAAGGGCTGGCATCCAGGCTTTTTGATGTGGGCCCTCAATCTTCCCCCAATATTTGTCACCCACAGACCTGGCATATCCTCCTGCTCATAATTAGAATAGTTCTGCTCCAATCAATCAAGATGAACCTCATGGACATCACCAAGATTTTCTCCCTCCTGCAGCCTGACAAGGAGGAGGAGGACACCGACATGGGGGAGAAGCAGGCTCTCAATCAAGCAGTGTATGACAACGACTCCTATACCTTGGGCCAGCTTTTGTGCCAGGAGCGTTATAAACGTTTCATCAACAGTAGAAGTGGCTGGGGTGTTCCTGGGACACCCTTGCGCTTGGCTGCTTCTTATGGCCACCTCAGGTGTTTGCAGGTCCTCCTGGCACATGGTGCTGATGTTGACAGTTTGGATGTCAAGGCACAGACGCCACTTTTCACTGCTGTCAGTCATGGCCATCTGGACTGTGTGCGTGTGCTTTTGGAAGCTGGTGCCTGTCCTGGTGGTAGCATCTACAACAACTGTTCTCCCGTACTCACAGCTGCCCGTGATGGTGCTGCTGCCATCCTTCAGGAACTCCTGGGCCATGGTGCAGAGGCCAATGTCAAAGCTAAACTACCAGTCTGGGCATCAAACATAGCTTCATGTTCTGGCCCCCTCTATTTGGCTGCAGTCTATGGGCACCTTGACTGTTTTCGCCTGCTTTTGCTCCATGGGGCAGACCCCAACTACAACTGTACTGACCAGCTCCTATTGGCTCGTGTCCCACGGCCCCGCACCCTCCTCGAAATCTGTCTCCACCATAATTGTGAACCAGAGTACATCCAGCTGTTAATTGATTTTGGTGCTAACATCTACCTTCCATCTCTCTCCCTGGACCTGAACTTGCAAGATGATAAAGGCACCGCATTGTTGCTACAGGCCCGAGGTGAGTTTCAAACAGCTCAGCTCTATGGACCTTCTGGCTTTGAGGTCCAAGGGCCACAAATCACCCCCCAAGCCAATCCTCCTAGGATGATTTGGAGAAACTACCATCTTCCTCCCTCTCCTAGGACCCCAGTGGAGAAAAGTTACAGATTCCTTATTAGGAAAGGGATCACTAAAATAAGGTGGGGGATAGCACTAGCAGAATTTCTGGTTCTGGCTCTGCCAATGACTGTTTTGTGGCCTTGAGCATGCCCTATTTAGGCCTCAGTGTGTTCCCATTGGCACCATGCATTGAGGACAGAGTGGGGGGAGGATTTCTTAGAAGGGAGAAAGCAATTAGGGCTGCAGGAGCCAGGGCAGGGTGGATGCAGGCTTGGATGGGAGAATTACACTGAGAATTGCTTCTTATGACCTGTTTCTCCTTGTAGCCACTCCACGGTCACTACTATCACAGGCCCGTTTAGTCATCCGCAGAGCTCTGCGCCAGGCCAGCCAACCACAAGCCATCAACCAGCTGGATATTCCCCCTGTGTTGATTAGCTACCTCAAACACCAACTGTAACCTTGCAGCCTTACCAGAAACCCACAATGCCTACAAAAACCACCTGGGGATCCAGGTAGCTGGAGGACACTACAGCTCCATCTATTCACCTGGAGCTGCTGTCCTGTATTATCTTCCACAATAAGATACTCATCAAAATAAATCCTGGTGGCTGCTCTCCTGTATTATCCTCCACAATAAAATCCTCATCAAAATAAATCCTGGTGGCTGCTATGACTGCTATGTGTGTGGGGGAGGGAGATTCACTGGGGAAAGGGGTCTGGTTGGCCAAGGGTAAAGATGGTAATTATCTGGCATTTGACAGGCATAGGAGTCCTGGCCACTGAAAGAGAAAAAAAAAAAAAAGTAACCCAATGGCTTATACTTCCTTCAAGATTCTCAAGGAAATTTAGAACTGTGTTGTCCTTAGAAACAAGGTCCTGAAGAATTCAAGTGGATGGAAGGGTAGCATCTGCTTGCTAAGCCTTGTACCTCCATTCACTTCTTTGGCTGCTACAAGGAACCCTTTCTGGGGCTGTCACCAAACCCCCTATTCCTCCGAGTCAAGTAACTAACAATCCTCCCATTCATTCACCTTTAATCATAGACTGCATTCCCACTAGTCCAGTTTATAGTCAAGATCTAACTGGGAAAACAAACTACCAAATATTTATAGCAGATAATTTAAAGCAGATAAAAAATATGTTACATAGTGGATAGGTTGAGAAGCCAAACAGGACAGGAATGTAACCCAGAGATTAGTTACAGCAGGATGCCAACACCATCCCTCCTCTGAAGGGGTGAAGGAGGAGGTACGGTCCGAGTTCAGGGACAGAGGTCACCTGATGGAAAGCAGAATCGTAGGCTTGTCCATGGGTGCTAGAACCATAGAAGAAATACACTGTTCAAATCAGAAGAAAGGAAGAAATACCCTCCCCTTTTCCTCATTGCTGCCCTTCAGTCTGTCTCCAATGTCACTCTCATTGGGGGAAACTAGAAGTCAACTAATATGAGAGCCTGGGAAATACAGCCTAGAGGGGTCAGTACCCTTGATGCATAAGGCAGAACAAGGAAGGTGAAGAATAGAGGGGCAGTGGGAAAGAGTGGTATGATCTGAGCCATGAGCTGGGATCACACAGAGGAATTGGAAGTATATTGACATTGGGAGCCACAGAAGAGCCACTGCAGAGACACCACAGAGGCACAAAAGATAGAGGCTAAATACCATGGTTTCTCCATTTTTTCTAATCTCTCACCCAGTGCCTCATTGAACCCAGCCAGATGATTGATGGAGGGGCCTGGGAAATGCATCCTATAATGGTCAGTCCCCCCATGATGTGGAGAAGAACAGGAGAAGGAGGCAGACATGCCCTGGACCAGCACAGATAACCACCAAAATTCAGATCTAGGCATCTACAGTACTGTTTCTCTTGCACAACTGTGGGTGGAGATGTGGACAAATAGTGCAAGAGACACAAGATGAAGGAGTGGAGGAGGAGAACCCAGATAATCTTTAGATGTTTAGAGCTCTTCCTAGGAGCTGCCTTGACAGTCCCTCTACATCATGATCTCCTATTATGAGGAAATGGAGGCAGGGAATAAGGTCTTAAGCTGATTTGCCTCTCCCCTCCTTACCTCCCCCACTCTCCCTAGTTCCTAGTGCCTGAGAGACTTTAGGAAGGAAGGTAAGAAAATTGAACATCTATCTCCACAATCCTGTTCCACTCAGATTCCAGACTTTCATTCTTGTTTTGGGGAGTAATGCAACTGTTTATCTATAAGGAGCAAAAGAACTGAAGGACTTAGCTGTAAGCACAGACAGAGGGCTTCAGGGAAGACAGCCCTAGCTCTTTTCTACCTTTCTTTCAATCTGGGCTCCTGAGGAATGAACTGTCCAGGACCCCATGCTTGGCTCTGTCCCCCACCCCCTTAGGGCCCTTGGGGATTAGGAGTCAACTTCAGCAGCTCCATCTTCTACAGGCCCCTGGGAAAGTACATCCTTCCAAATGGGGCCTGGCCAGGGTGGCCTCTCCTGTGGCATCTGGGACATGGATTCTCTGGCTGACCCATGAAAGCATGTAGATACTCTGGGCATTTCAAAAAGAATTGCATTTGAGAAGGATGTAAAAGCATACCAAATTCTAGGCAGAAAAGAAGGGCTGGAACTCAGATGAGCAGACTGAGAACCTGACAAAGTCAAGGTCCCATATTGTCCCAGCTCTCCAGACTGCCCCTAGCTGTTATTTTTCCAGTTGCCTGTGTTGCAGGTGAGCAGAGACAACTTCAAAGACAACCCATACCCTCCCCAGGCCTGACCATTCCCATTTGGACAACAGGCTAGGGGTTGGAATGGGTCATCTCAAATTCTGATGATAAATCTTCTGAGGTAACTTTCACTAGGAGGTATGAGGAGGAGGAGGCAGCAGAGATAATGTGTCTGTTCCTGGAGTGAAATCCCCCCTTGGCCTTTAGTTTCTTGTTGGAATTGGCCCCAGGTGATAACCTAGTCTCCTTACCGCCACCACACTCCCACTTCCCCTGACAACAACCACCAGCTTCCAAGAAGCCATATCTTAACCCTTTCAGGAGATTTAGGCCACTTCCCTCCCTTCTTCCCTCCCTCTTTACCTCTTTATCTTCTTTCCTTCCTGACATTGTCATGAATCTGGGGCTGGCTCAGCTCTGCACTTGCAGTTTGTGTTCTCTCCTGCAATGTGAAAATTCTTTTGCTTTATTCAGAAAGGTGGACCTCAAAGACTAGATCCAAAGTAGAAAATGGCCCACTGGACTTCAGACACCAGAGAGGTCCCCTTCAGTTGCTAACAGGGAAAGTCTGATGGAAGAGGTTGTACTTGATCTTGGCCTTGAATGGTGGAAAGAGTTTTAATCAGTAGAGAGGAAAGAAAGGTATGAGTGGAGGGAACTCTGTGAGCAAAGATATAGAAATAGGAAAAAGCAGGCCATTGTTTGGCTAACCAGTTTAGTTTGGTTTGAGTTCAATGTATTTGAACAAGGGTTAGGCTGGGAACTAGACTGGAGAGGGCCCTGAATACTCTGGTATTTTGGACTTAAAGATTTCAATTCTTAGAACAGGGTATGCACAGTCATAGGAATGACTTGTTGCATGAATGGAGAACATGTTCCCTGATTTCCCAGGGAAAATCTGGCATCATTATATTTTTAAATTGAGATATAATTGACACATAACATTTTATTAGTTTCAGATGTACAACATTGCTTCAATATTTGTATATATTATGAAATGATCACCACAACGTCTAGTTAACATCCATAACCATACATAGTTACAAAATCTTTTTTTATGATGAGAACTTCTAAGATCTACTCTCTTAGCAACTTCCAAACATGCAATACAGTATAATTAACTATAGTCACTATGGTGTACATTATATTTCCCCATGAATTATTTATTTTATAAATGGAAGTTTGTACTTTTGGATCTCTTCACCCTTTTCAACCAACTCCCACCTCCCACTTCTGGAAACAACCAATCTTTCCTCTGTACCCTATAAGTTCATTAAAAAAATTAGTTTCTACATATAAGGGAGATCATATGATATTTGTCTTTTTGTGTCTGACTTATTTTACTTAACATAATGCCTTCAAGGTTGCTTCAAATAGCAATATTTCATTCTTCTTTATAGCTGAATTCAGCTATATGTGTTTGTGTGTGTGTGTATAATCACATTTTCTTTATTCATCCATCAATGGACATTTAGGTTTCTTCCATGTTTTGACTATTGTAAATAATGCTGCAGTGAACATGGGGGTGCATATATCTTTTCAAGTTTGTGTTTTCTTTTTCTTTGGATGCTCAGAATTGCAATTTCTGGATCATATGTAGTTGTATTTTTAGTTTTTTGTGGAAACTCCATACCATTTTCCATAGTGGCCACAGCATTTACTCACCAACAGTGCATAAGAGTTCCCTTTTCTCTACATCTTTACCAACACTTGTTATTTCTTGCCTTTTTTATAATAGCCATTCTAACAAGGTGTGAGGTGATATCTCATTTTTTTAATTTAAATTCAATTAGTCAAGGTATAGTTTGGTTTTGATTTTCATTTCCCTGATGATTGATGTTGAGCACCTTTTCATGTACCTCTTGGCCATCTGTATGTTTTCTTTTTTTTAATTTAATTTAATTTTTTCCCCTGTGTATTTTTTTTTTATTATGTTCAATTAGCTGTCATTAGTTTTTGACGTAGTGTTCAATGATTCATTAGTTGCATATAACACCCAGTGCTCATCACATCACGTGTCCTCCTTAATGCCCATCACCAAGTTACCCCATCCCCCCACCCACCTCCCTTTCTGCAACTCTCAGTTTGTTTCCTGGAGTCGAGAGTCTCATATCGGAAGGGAAGGAAAACTGAAGGGGAAGAAATAAGAGAGGGAGACAAACCATATGAGACTCTGACCATTTTTTAATGATTTTTTTGTGTGGGGTTTTTGTTGTTGTTGTTGTTGTTGTTTCCTATTGAGTTGTATGAGTCCTTTATATATTTTGGCTATTAACCCTTTATCAGTTATACGACTTACAGGTATTTTCTCCCATCTACTAAGTTGACTTTTCATTTTGTTGATGGCTTCCTTTGCTGTGCAGAAGCTTTTTAGTTTGATGTAGTCCCACTTATTTATTTTTGTTTTTGTTGACTTTGCTTTTGGTGTCAAATCCAAAAGAGTCACTGCCAAGACTTATGTCAAGGAGCTTACTGCCCATGTTTTCTTCTAGGATTTTTATGGTTTTAGGTCTTATATTCAAGTCTTTAATCCATATTGTGCTAATTTTTGTGTATAGTGTAAGATAGTGGTCTAGTTTCACTCTTTTGTTAGTGGCTGTCCAGTTTTCCCAACACCATTTATTAAAGAAACTGTCCTTTCCCCATTTTATAACTTGGCTCTTTTGTCATAAATTAATTGACCATATATTCCTGGATTTATTCTGGCAGCATTAATTTAGCCATCCTCTTGTAAGCGCAGAGCATTTGACTGCTTACACATTATTTGTGTACTCATCACTTCATTTACTTCTAGAATACTTCCTGAGCTACCTGGGGAAATCCTGGTCTTCCATAGTCAAGCAATCATTCAAGAAGAATGACCATTGGCTTCATCCTGGCACCTTCTAAGCTCTATCCATCAGTAGTCACAGAAGACATTAGCTTCCAGACACTAGTCTATTTGATAGCTCCTA